ACATTCGCGAAAACTTGCCTTGTGGACTAATAAATCCATCCTAACATCTGACTGCTTTCATCAGACGGATCGCACATCTTTGAACACTACACTCTGGCTCTCATTTGCCCAAAGTTAACCTCTGCAACAAAGAGTATGGCGAAAAGAAAAAGGAGATGAGGAGTATCGTACATTACGGGAAGAATGGGCAGAAGAATTCGCCTTTGTACAGAGAGCAGATTATGCGGTGTGTCTAGTGATGGTGCTCCGTGTATGGTGAGGGAAAACAAACGATTTGTGGCGCTTCTCTGTGAACACAAAAATAGGCCCATCCTACGTTTCCAGGAAGGTCTTTGTGCTCATATATATGACGGGCAGCTTGGCGAAGTGATGTCGCTGGCCATTCGTGTGATCAACTTTAATGTTGCCCGAGCCTCAAATGATCGACAGCTTAAAACACTGATGGATGAAGTTGGAAGTAACTATCATGGTCTGATTTTGCACAGCAATGCACGTTGGTTGTCAAAAGGGGAGATGCTTAGCCGTTTTGCAGCTTGCCTGAATGAAATCCGGACGTCCCTTGAAGTGAAGGGCATTGAGTATCGTATGCTAGCCGAAACTGAGTGGCTCCTCATGTTTTACTATCTCGTGGACATGACCGAACATCTGAACCAAATAACGTTAAATTGCAAGGCAATGGAAATGCAGTGTTATCTCTTTAACAATCCGTGTGTGCTTTAAAAAACGTGCTTGAACTCTTTATCATAGATCTTGAAACATATCGTTTGAAAAACAAAGACCAATAAAGATGCATGCACAGTAAGTGAGCCCACTCAAAACTTTGATCTCCACCAGCTAGTTGGCGTCACATCCAGTTTCCTACAGTCGTTCAAAGCACGCTTTGGAAAATTTCGATAGCACACCCTTCTTTTTAAGTTCATCACCCATCCAACCAAGTGTTCACTGAATACAGCCGACCTAAATTATATTCCTAGTCTCTCCGTTAGAGATTTCGAAGAAGAATTGGCTGAAATTAAGGCCTCAGATATGTGGGTGAATAAGTCCAAGTCATTCAATGAAGATTTGGAAAGAATCGCACGACATAAAGCGGAGTTAGCAAGCACATGTGGACAGAGAGTAAAAAAAACTTCCACCCGAAGACCAGCCGATAATCAAAACTTGGAACACGCTTCCGATTATATACCACACACTGCAGTGTGTGAGTATTTCTGTATTGACCTGTTTGGATCTACGTACGCATGTGAGCAGTCATTCCCACCTCTTAGATACATCAAGCCCACCCTACGATCACGTCTAATGAATGAAAGCCTCAACGCTCGCATGAAGCTTAACCTCACCAACTACCGACCAGACTATAAAACCATCAGCGAATCCATGCAACACCAGAGGTCACATCAACAATGAGTATTATAAGAACATTATTTAAAAGACTAAATTCAGAAGCTTATTATACTCGCATTTAATTGAATTTCATCTTAAAATATACTATATGGCTCTCTCTGAAATATTTTTACAAATATTTCCTTTCTTGTCTCTCTGAGTTAAAAAGGTTGTCGAACCCTGGTCTAGAGCATCAACACACAGCAGAGGCCGGCACCTTCACTGTCCTTATTGCCCTCGTGCATCCACTCACCGCATGGGCCTACTCGGACATGCGCCTCTCCATGACAGCAGAATGCACCGCGATGTCGACACGCTTAAGATGCCCAACAACAACAGGATGTACAGCAAGCATCCCCAGCAGTCCAATCGAGTGGCCACTACTAGTCCCACAGTAATAAATGGGAAGGATGCGAACGCTAGGACAAGACCTTTATTCGCCTGACGTTTCGACATCCGTCGCGCGTTCCTCTTCAGAGATATCAACAGGAAAGAGTAGCAGAAACTGGTAATACATGCACAGGAAGTTGCAGTATTCATAGAATACAGTCATTACTGCACACTTATGATAAAGAAAATTGACGATAATTGTCATGTTGTGCGTTAATCGCTTGAAAATCGGCATACGGGCCGTGACCTGCTGAACATACATCACGCGAAATGGAATTGGACGTGATAATTGCTTAGCCATCTGTTTCCGCGGTGTTGGCGTAAAAGGACGCGGTGGCCTCTGCTTTCCTCAAGTGGCAACTTGCTTTCAGAATGAATGAAAACTTTCGTGTTTCAGGTATTTGCATGGAAGAGAAAGGAGGGTTTTCGAGCACCGGATCAATCTGTTTATTATTCTGAGTTTTCGTGCTCTTGCGGGTGTCCATCGTCAGAGGTAAAAGCGTCCACGAAAAACAAGCAACAGTTGTAGGTGGTAGGAGCCAATCAAACATCATAGGGGGGAGGGAGAGGGGGGAACCCCTTAAGCACCAGTGCCGGCCGTGTGG